CACTATTCTTTTAAATCTTATGATATAATTATTCCTCGTAGACCTTTCTATACATTTACCATATATTCACATATTATCTTTGGTTTAAGTTATGTTTACTTCTATGATTTTCACTCGTATTATTCTTAATAAGATATCACACTTAGGAATTTACTATTTCCATTAGCCAATCAAGGCACAGCGATAATATCATATTGATTGTAGAATGACACATGTCATGAAGTTATTATAAATAGAACTCATGTAATTAGTTTTAGTCAGAAGAAGAGTAGAGATAGAGTATAGAAGAAAAGAGAAGTAGAATAAAGATCCCGAGTAGCTCTACCGAGAGCGGTCCATCCCATAACATAGGCTTCTGTGCCTAAGTAATATATAATAATAATGTTTTACTTACCAGTTTCGATGATTTCTAGTCTTTTAACTAACTTAATTAACACAACTTTCCTTGACTCTCTTTGAATGAACGTTAAACACAACTGATGTGACAAAATGAAAAACTAACGACAAAAACCTCATCATACTTTTGGTTTTTTCATGCGCACTCTAAATTTCTAACGATGAGTGCGCGCGCTAAAAACGTTATGAAAACAACTGTAAATATTCAACTTGCCACACAAGTATCCTTTATGGGGTGGTTGTCTGGGCTTCTGGCTCAAACTTCAAGGAATTGGAGTTAATTCACGTTAGAGCTGCTAGACTAATACATAAGCTGCCAAAAGGCATGAAGGATGGGGATATCCTCACTAAGGTAAAGTGGATGCCACTTGAATATTTTTATACATTCCGCCTCTTTACTATCACTTGTATGGCATTTCATAACCTAAGTTTAGAGGAAATAAATTCCTTAGTTGTTAGAAGTTCCAATAGCTATAATTTTAGGAAATCTTGAAATATTAATGTAAATAAGCCCAGAACTGAATTAGGCCGTAGTTCCTTTTTACATAGAGTTGCAGTTGCATGGAATTCCTTATCGGATAAAATTCGAAGCTTTTCCGATGCAACAGCTTTTAAAAACCAACTCAAACATTCAAAAAATGAAATTAGAAATATTAAGTTTAAGAAAGGTAGCTGTGTGTGTGTGTGTACAGTCCTTTGACTAAACGTTGTCGTTTTGATCGGCTTCATCCCTACGCGCCTAGACCGAAAAGGATTTGGTAATTAATCGCACTCCCTCGAACCAATCAGATTGCAGGGTTTGGCAGTGATTACAAAAAGGATATGATTAAGTTTTAAATTGCACGAGAAAACCATATCATTTCCTTTTAACAATAAACATGAAAAAAATAAAGAGGAAATTGGAGTAATTTTTAGAAGACAGAGCGAAAATCTCAAGAAAAACACTATGAGCATGTGCTCGGTGACGTGGCGTCAGTAGTGTGTGTTCTTCAACCAAAAATTTATGCAATTAAAAAACACAACAAAATCCTCATTTTTTGTTGTTGACATTTTGTTCATCATCACTGTTCTAGTTTTACCATCGAAAAATACAAAGTTTTGATACTTAGTAATGTTAACAAAAGCAAAATTAGCTATGGGAAAAGTTTTTACAAAAACCGCTTTTGACACGCTCACGCGCACTACCACTACATTTAATATTCTATGCACACAACGCTCAACTCACATGTTGATTTTTACGGAGGAAAGAAACAGGAGAACCCGGAGAAAACCCTTGTAGCATAGGAAATAACAACACATCAAACAAAGTCAATAGACCATTTCACGGATCCCGTTACTCAACCTCAGCCTCGTCAGCGTGTAATATATTTTTTAGACATTGCCTACAACCTGTGAAATGTTTAAGTGCTTCAATTGTTAGTTGATGTGTAAATTCTTTTCATTACTGTGTACTGTAGTCAAATTCTAGAAAAATAATTACACGCTGACGAGGCTGAGGTTGAGTAACGGTATCCGTGAAATGGTCTATTCACATGTGGCGACTGCAGAGCTCGAACCAGCGACCCGACCCGTTGGACTCGCAGCGGTGAAAGACGACGCGTTAGCCGAACGCCACCCATGCTACCCATAAGTTACAGTCAGAACGGCTGAAGCTTACAGTCAAACCAGTTCATGCGCACGGGGAAAATGTGATAACACGAATCAAGAGAATATGAAGTAAGCTTATATATGAAATACCGCCAAAATACCATATTTTTTCTCTTCTTAGCTAGTTATTTACAAACACCTACTTTAGATATCTACTAAGAATATATTTCTTGCAAGAAAAAGGGATTTTTATCGTTATTTAGTGCGCTAACTTACCTTTTATCACCGACAAAACTACCCGAATCCGCCATCTTTTTTTACATTCTCGCATAGCTAAAATTCTGTAGAATGCCAGCCACAATGGCCGATTTGATCACGTGACCTTTTAGTGCAAGTCGCCTATTCGTAGCTAATAATCAGTTTTCAAAACGGTTCTTTATATATGAGGCATTAAAACTAACACTCTATTACGGTTCTATAATGTCTTATATTGTTTGCACTCTACTATCTCATGTTTGCACACTAATTATTGACATGAATGTAATGGTATATTAACGTTTTGCTTTTTGTAGGAATCATGGCTGGATTTTTTGATGAAGATTCTCCTCATGGAAAAGTCAAACGAGTCATGTGGTTCAAATACCTTCAGGCTTTTATCGCAAAGACGCAACAATCGACAAGCGTAGACAAGACCATTATATGTGATGTGTTTGCAGGGACTGGAGTTTACGAGAATAATTGGAGCACAACCTTTACAGATTATGGTTCCCCACTGATTGCACTGCGAGCAGCAATTGGGTATTTTGTACACAGAAATAACTTGCCAAATACCTTCAAGCCAATTCTTGATGCCAATCCAGATTACACCGAAGACGAAACCTTAATCCTGAAGGAGTATAAAATCGATTTATATTTTGTGGAAAAAGATGGAAACAAATACGAATCTCTCGTCAATAACATAATATTATTTTTCAATTTTCATGGCATTAATGTCATTAAATTACCAGCCCCTAACCGAGCGTGTGTTTCAAGCATGGATGAGGATTTTCCTATTCGTTGTTACATATTTAACTGCGAGTTTGTAGAGTTTACTGCACCAGATGTACCCGACAACGCACGCATGGTAACCTTCATCGACCCGTTTGGATTTGCAATGATTCCATGGCAAAAAGTCTCTGATTTCGTTGGAGAACACAAGGAACTTTACATCACCCTAATGACATCCTTCATGCACAGGTTTTTCACCCAGAATCGCGATAGAATAGGCGAGGTTTTTGGGATGGAACCCGAGGTTCTAGAGATCTTAAGAATTGAAGACGAAAGTCATTTTGTGGATACATTGGCCGACTTGTACGTTGAAAAGCTCGGCGAAAGTAGCGACCATGCACTTACATTTGAAATGAGGGACATAAGGAATAGGAGACTGTACCATTTGATTTTTGCTACAAGCCACATCGAAGGGTTAAAGTCAATGAAAAAATCGTTCAACCGAGGTACCCAAGAGCAAAATACATTCTCTCTCTCTGACTTCAAGATCTTAAGGAAAAACATTCCTTTAAATCTTGGAAATCAACAAACTCCCGAAGAAGTTGCAAAAGTCATTTTTGATAAATTCAAAGGTGAACAGGTTAGAATCAGCAAGGTTGAAAGGTTTGTATGGCTTGATACACCATATGTGTACTTAAAGGAACCACTGGCCAACTTGGAGACGGAAGGAAAAATTGTGAAAGTCGTTGGCAAAAACTCTGAAAAACGAAATAGGCGAAATACATTTCCTGATCATACTGAATGGTTAATAACTTTTGCTTCCGTCCAACCTCGGGAATAGTTTAGAGCAATTTAGTGACAGGTGATTTTATTTTCATCTTTCACATTTATCTAAATTGAGCTCCCTCCGTGGCACCAGTAATAGTTTACGCATGCACACCCGGAGAGGTGGGGCACTCATTTACGAGCCAGAGGCATTCAACTCTAAAGTCCAAAGAAAATTAGAAAGATGTCCACGTTCTCGTATGAATCCATTAAGAGTTTCTCTGCACTGTCAGTAAATCAAATATTGCCAAGAATTTGTGAAAAACAGTCATTTGCACTGTTTTAGCCTCGTATAAAAGGAAAACGTTTACAAAACTCAACTCCAATGTAAAGAATGTGCATGCAAGTTGAACAATAGGACGTTTGCATGATGACGTCATTTTAAAAACTACTACTACCAAAATGCATTGCGAATTTTCTTTCTTATTCTAATTTTTATTTCCTAGCTCACGAGAATAATTAGTATGACTAACTATATAGTTGTAAAATAGTTTAGTTTTGAAATAAATGGAATAAAAATGTTGATAAATCTGTTATATAGAAGCTTTAGTTTTGGTGGTGAGAAAAACAAGTGACAATTTTGAAATTGTGGGATGGCAAGATTTACCCAATTATCATTTGCCCATGCACATTACTAGACAGCCGTGAGACCCAGAAGGTCCAGGAGAACGTTATTGTCACGAAATATCTCTCCTCACACACTATACCCCCAAGCGCTTCATTCTCACTCAATTAGTAAACTACATGTGACGTAATACCACCACCAGTAATTACGCTTTAAACGTCACTAGTTCTCACATCAGGGCTCACATAACCATCAACTAACTCCACATCATTATCTTCAAGCAACAGACCAGTGTTCTTTACCATGTACGTGTGTCCTGTGCATCGATAAGAGCTCGAGTCGTCTTCAACGCTTCAAACGTCACTAGTTCTCACATCAGGGCTCGCATAACCATCAACTAACTCCACATCAATATCTTCAAGCAACAGACCAGTGCTCTTAACAACGTACGTGTGTCCTGTGCATCGATAAGAGCTTGAATTGTCTTCAATGATTTCAATAGAGCTATTAGTGTCAAGTGTGATAGCAACGTCAGTCCTCAAGCTTGTGTTCCTGTTATCAGTCCGACTGAATTGGTCGTTGTCTTCTCTCTTTGGCCATAGCTTCACGCAAACGTGACCAACCAAAATAAATAGCAATAGCAGTAGAAATAACACGAAGCTTAATACAGCGTATTCTGCTGTTTCATTTACGGACTTCCACGTCGGTTCTACTGTATGGCTGCGTTGTACCACTGCTGTGAAGTTCCCAATGCTTCGAGTCATGATTTCTGCAGCAAAGTTATCAATTTATTTCTCTCGCTTTCGCGTGTCTTGACATTAAAACAGCGTGAAAACTTCGTAAGCCATCAAAAAATGGCAAGAAAATATACTCTATTTCTTGCACAAGACTTTTAAGCTCGGCTTCTGTGTTAGCACCTCCAAGACGTACACAGATACTAACAAATTATAGAATCTTCTTGTCTCCTTTAATCGTACTTTTTTTGGTTCTTTTTGAGTCTACACGTGTCTACATGTATATAATATCTCATTACCATTTACGTCATTTTCACCACGTGACATCTGCAAGCAGCGATCGATATCATCAGCAACTTCTTCAGATTTTTAGTTTCCAATCTCATTTTTGCCAACGCCTGGAGTTACAGACGGTGAAGAAGGAGGAAAATATGGTTTCTGTCTTTAATCTCAGCCACTCTAAGTCGTGGGGCATTCAATACTTCTTAAGATAGCTTTTAGATATCTAGAGTTTATGACCAAGCCGATGAGGAACAGTCTGCGTGCGAAGAATATACTATAGATCGTTTCTTTCTTCGGTTGGAAACCGCTAAATCAAAGAACGTGTTTTATAATACCAGGACGACTTTTGACATCCAGTATAATTGTGATAATGAGCTGTAGATAGCGAAGTATAATATAAGAAAATAATGAAAATCTAGCTATTTAGACCTCTCGTGTCAATCATTATCAATTCATCAAAGCGAAAAATCCGTACGACTTCATGGAAATATGAGTAATGAATCTTTGGCATGTCAAATAAATGTTTGGCCTTCAGCCGAAAAATTATATTTGAAGCTTATCAAGATATTGAGCAGATAAGAAGGCCGCAAGATGCTTCAGTGATTGTCTTTTTACTAGTGTCACTGAATCTGGTGAGGTCACTATACAGCTATCATTCTACAACAGATCGGATATGTCTCTCTTCGTATAATCCAGTACAAAGTGTATCTCATTATCCCAGATTGAGTAGAATACGCCTCAAGGTATTAGCCGTTAGAGAGAACTAAACTATACGTCAAGTTAGCATTGTAGTGCACGATGCGGCTGTTTTAGGGGGCATATTTCCAAGTGTATCTCATTATCCCAGATTGAGTAGAATACGCCTCAAGGTATTAGCCGTTGGAGGAAACTAAACTACCTCAAGTTAGCATTGTAGTGCACGATGCGGCTGTTTTAGGGGGCATATTTCCAAGTGTATCTCATTATCCCAGATTGAGTAGAATACGCCTAAAGGTATTTCTAGATATGAATGTCTGTGAAAATGTCTTGGAAAAGGTTCATCATTCTTCGGGCACTCGTTGCCGTAAACATCCTGATCGGGAACCCTGGTGTCACGGTAATGATGTCTCTCGTTTCCTGCTTTTTCTGGAAGCGACAGACGAGCGACATAATCTTACCTCTGGGTTCCCAAGGATGCGTACTAGTTTTCGAAATCGATGAAATTTGATGACAAATATTCGGCAACTGAACCTGCTCGTAAAGTGTTCATCTTTAACATCTTTCATCGGCGGCATTAGTGTATAATATTCAGAGCATCATTATCAACCAGTTTTATCATCAATGTATCATTACCATTATTATTAATATATTATCATAATCACATAATCATTAATATATCATCGTTTTCATCATCTTTGCATCAATCATCATCACCATTAGTCATTATCACCATCATCATCACCATCATCATCACCATCACCATCATCACCATCACCGTCATCACCATCATTACCATCATCACCATCATTACCATCATCACCATCATCATCATCATCATCATCATCACCATCATCATTATCATCATCATCACCATCATCATCGTTATCATCACCATCATCATCATCATCATTATCATCACCATCATCATCATCACCATCATCATTATCATTATCATCATCACCATCATCACCATCATCATTATCATCATCATCATCGTTATCATCACCATCATCATCATCACTAGCACCAGTCATCAACCAACATTATCTCCATCGATGATCAACATAACGTATCACTGTATTAATTAACTACTTATTAATGGCCACAATTAAGCGAAGGGTTCAGCCCAGACAACACGTATGAATATCTTCGATTCCGATAATTTATTTACATAATAAATACTTATGTACAATTTTAAAAGGAGAAATGTCTTCTTCGAGTCTTAGTTCGAATTGGCCAACCTCGTTCCCAGGGCCTTCTTAAAGATGGCGGCGCTCGAAGAGCAGGCCCTGGGAACGAGGGTTTAATTGCTGTCACAAGAGTCATGTGAGGCAACAGTCGAGTACTAACAATTTAAGTATAGATGTCATTTCCTTAACTTTCTCGTGCAGAATGTCGTCGAACAGCTGAATCACAAGTTTTCACTAGAATTCTTTGTGGCTGACAGCACATGGCGGGCGGTGTTTAATCACCGTTTATAGAATATCCGTTCTTGCTTTATTCGCTGCTGCATATTTCACTGGAGACCAAGACCCCGTCTACACCAGGCAGAGGTGCACAGGTACTCCGTTACACCAAGTGATCTTTCGTTAGAAGTTTTAACGTGGACGACGTGACGGGACTAACGGGAGACAAATTTTCCATATTATCGTTGCGCTTTGTAAATTACAATATAAATGGCTACAGAATACTGACTTGTGAATAATGCAGCTCGATTCCTCACGGTAAATTATAACAAGAGTCTTTTATTAGAAGCCCAAACCAGGCTAAACCAACATGTTTTACCTATTGTAGTCAATACAACTCTTTTTGTTGAAATAAAGAATACGTTTCTTTCATTTTAAGGTGATGCACTAGCGTTATAGAGGTTTGCGCCATCATGTGCCCACGCCCATAATACAGCTTGGGCTGCCTGTGGTTTAATGGCAGAACAATAAAATCCCTTTGCTCTTGGGAATTGAATTATTTCTCATGTAAAACGAATGTATTGTTCCTGACATCTAACATGGCTGCCGTCACGTGGTGGTGCAAAACATCATTTTTCCACGAAAAAAGGAGGAAAGGAAAAGGAGGTGGTGCATTGGTGCATATAGTTGGATTTTAAGATTTATTTATGGTATACTCTAATAGACCGTTTTCTCAAGGTTGCGTGCGCATCCAAATTTAAGGAACTTGGCGGGCCATGATACCAGAACACGAGCTTTATGACGAGTACTATCCTACATTACTATGAATTTTTTTTTCGATGAGAATTCATAAAATTGATTATTCTCCTATTTAAATATAAAATTTGCTTCTCAATTTTACTGAATTTGCTTTTTTCAGTTTTTTGGCCCGTCAAGTTGGATGCGCACGCAGTCTTGAGAAAACGGTCTATTACTTGAAGTGATAGAAATAGTAGAAAGTGTACATACCCCATGGCGTACATAGGTACGTCTTTCGAAAAGAGGGCAAACAATTGGTGCGTAGCGGTCCTGACAGCGTAACATTTGTACTCGTCTGTACAGGTATATGTTTCCATGGCTTCATGTGGCACGTTGGTATGTGGGTCACGTGATACTGGAGTATCATCTGCCAATCAAATCAAAGCTAGATGAACATGGTGCTAACAAGAGGTAATAACAGCAACAAAATCGTGGGGATTGTCACGCAATATTGTTGCGTTACGCAGTAATGTTGTTCGCATGATTCAGACAGTTGATTGTTGTTGTGAGTAAATTTCCCATGACTGCGAAAACAGCACGGTCATGGTACGGAATTGATTACATCTTTAAACCAATCACAGAGCACGAGATTACTCCTCATTTAATCGATCCTCACACGACAGGAGTCACGGTTATGGTCCGTGCGCCGTGAACGCGTTGGAGCTTTCTTATTGGCTAAACAGTGATCTCGCATATTATGATTGGTTCAACGGATGTCGTTACCAGACATCATGTCACGTAAGCAAAATCTCTATATAAAATACATGATTGAATTTAATTGCCCTATTTCACTATGACGTCACTGCTTGTTTATGTGGGGGATAGAATCGACAAATCCAATAGAAAATTCAACAAAATTTGCTCCTAGCGAAACAGTTTCATCTAAAATGGCCTGGTTTTCAGATATAATATGTGTTAATACGTACTAAGATAATATCCTGAGCGTATGCTGGCTATTCTACTTCTCTTCGTGGTCTTAGAACAATTTTCGGTGAATTTGCGTTGATTTGACCCCCTCCGACGACCATGATCCTTTGCGTTTAAACAATAGATTGTTTTGTTGTGACGTCATGATGAAATAGGGCAATGGCATTGAATCTATTTCGCCATACAGATTTGCAAGTCATGACCTGAATACAATACCTTTTTCATCGGTTAATTCTGTTACGGGAGGAAACAACGTCTCCACGATAGATTTGTAGAATGAGATCAATGCTGATTTTCGCTTGGCAGGAGTAACACCTTCTGCTGAGAAAAGTAACAAAGATCCTGTCATAGAATGCAAACATAGAAACACAAGATGTCTTGAGTTTTATCTCAAGGTTGTTCAAGCCGCGTGAATGGAGTTTTATTGATCTGTAGATTGCTCTCTTGCCACGAGGATTTTTCTCCTTGTTCTCAGGAAGGAAGGAAGGAAGGAAGGAAGGAAGGAAGMAAGGAAGAAAGGAAGGGAGGGAGGGAGGAAGGAAGGAAGGAAAGAAGAAAGGAAGGGAGGAAGGAAGGAAGGAAGGGAGGAAGGAGAAAAGCAAACAATCAATCAATCAATCAATTAATCAAGCAACCAAGCAAGTATAGGAAGGTTTACATATAACTATACAATAGCTACGACATCTTACCAGATTCAGAACCCGTCATTACCCCTGACGGGAAAACACTGGTCAAGCATTTTCTCTCCTCTGTATTCACCAAGATAAATCTAGAAAAGAAAAAGAAATGCAAAAACGAATAAAAAAGATTTAAAAACAAAAATATCCTGATTTTTTTAAGACTATGAAAATGGTTAGAATGAAATCTGTACCGTAAAATAACATGTGTTTACCCTTGTAAACTCATCCCAATTACTTGAATACGATGCTTTAAGGGCAAAAAAAATGATTGTTTCAGGCCAATGCTGAATACTCACGCTAGTATACCGCTGTCTATAGTAATCGCGGGTGGTAGATTACGTGGATGGGATCGCAAGCATGACTTGAGTATATCAATAACTGGTCTCCAGTACTGGTCTAGAAACTACAATCAAACATGAAATAATAAAATTAAAAGAAATCGCTGCACCAGGTAGTAGACCTATTTGCCTTGGGCRTAATGCTTTTCCATTTCATTTAGACCACGTGTCGTTCCCTTGAGAATAAGATTTGTTTGAGTTGTATCCATATTCTTATGTCTTCTCGTGCACAACCGTTAAACAAAGAAATGATACTCTAGGTAATGACACATATGGTTTTGAGAATAAGATTCTTTGTTTGAGTTGTATCCATATTCATATGTCTTTTCATGCACAACTGTTAAACAAAGAAGTGATACTCAAGAGAATGCAACGTGGTCTGAAATGAAAAAACTTTATGCCCAAAATAAATTATAATTGTTATGATAAGGTGAAATATATATATGGTGAGGTCAATAGCTGTAGTACAGTGTAACTGACGTGTTTAAGACACTAGGTCGTTTATGAATGATGCAGTAAGGTGCTGTTGTAAGGTAGATAGGTGTTGTTATACGTGAGTATCAGGTGGTGTAGTAAGGTATCATTGCTGTAGTAAGGTGCAATTGATGTGTTAAGGCACTATGTCACATGTAATTGATGCAGTAAGGTGCTGCTTTAAGCTGGATGAGTGTTGATGTATGTGAGTTTCAGATGGTGTAGAAAGGTATACAGGTTGTAGTAAGGTGTAATACCTTGTATTCAATGTCCTGTAGAGTTGGTGTTGGACCACATATAACACAGACCTCAATTCCCTCAAGAATCTGTCAGAAAAATTGAATTCTTTGATGTTTTGATGTCTAGGGAAAGATATTAACATGTTGTATAGTATTCAATTCAGTCTCTCCCCCATACAGGGCTCTTCCRTGAGGTTCCCTCCACACGCACCACCACTACATTCTATATTTACAACATATGACACTCAACTCACACGTTGCTTTTTACGGAGGGAGGAAACTGGAGATCCCGGAGAAAACCCTCATAGCAAAGGAGAGAACAACACATCAAACAAACTCAACCCACATATGATCCAGTCTGAGCGTTTTTTGTGTGAGCTTTTTTTTACCTGAAATGTGACCAATCTGTGAGGAACCTGCATAATAGAACAGTCACTACCGTTAGAGAGAAACCTTTGCTAAGAAAAAATCATGGGCAAAAGACCCAATTATGTAGTTTTAGTGCTTATAGGATTTGAAGAAGTGAAAAACGTTTTGCTTATAACCAGGATTTTATCCACTGTATAGAAAGCCTTACCTTGGGGCTGCCATATGGGAGGTAGACAGGAAGATCACGGGAAGAACAAGGAAGTTGAGTATGGATTAACATTGACAGTAAGACTGTCTCTATTCCTGTTAACTCCCACCTGAAAAAATAAAAAAGATTGCAAGAGAAATCCTTAAAATTAGAAATATTTATATTAAATAAATAAAAAATTAAACAAGGTCATCGAAAATTGAGGACTCAATCACTTCGCTTGTGTAGACAAGGGCTTGAAATAATTTTGATTTCTACCCACAACACAAAAGATTTTAAAAATCCTAGCAGTCCCAGGATATTTGTTAGATGATAAATTTATATATTTAGAAAATAATTATTACAAATTGCATAGGGACCCTGGGTCTTTTAAAGAATATTATTTCGTGGGGGTATTTTAGCTTTATTGGAAATGATATATTTTATGTTAAGCATTCTTACCATCTAACAGTAGCAACAGCTACTTTCCCCATCACCAGAAGGCACCCAAACTCACTTTCCAAAGCTGAGACAAAAGCATCTAGAGTTTCCTGAATTATGTTATTAAACATTAAAAGAAATTTTAGATAGTAGAAAATTTTAAATTTTTAAATTTTAATGGTAGAATCTGAAGTTGTTGAGAAGAGATTTTCATAAAAACGATTATTAAAAGGGGGTCTCCATAAGTCCTCAATATAGGTTTCTAGTTTCTCAATCTAAAGATATTTTTGACAAGAAAAATCAGGTCCTTGGACTAGGACTTTAAACTTTATTCAAAACTTCATGAATAATTAATGAAAATTTGGTCCAACAAAATAAAAAAAAATTCCTTCACATACATGCTATTTTATACCTCATAATAGCTCAACATGGATATCTTTATATTTATAAAGATTTTGAAATCTTTATAAAGGACCAAAAGAGTACGAGAGCATGTCATGAATAAGGCCCCTAAATGCTCTATAATTATTCATGAAGCTTTGAAGCCGTTCAATAAACTTGCAGATCGTGCTTTATCAGGTCTACATGTAAAACCTGATAAAACACTCCTGCTTATTTATTAAACTATACTTAAAACACTCCCCTCAGGGCTTTTCAGAGTCCATACTTGCTACAAGACATTTTCATAGAATCATGATGTCAAAAAATGAGGCATAAATTACATAGAGAGGTTCATGAAAAAAAAAACTTACTTGAAGGACTGAAACATCAGGGCAGAGGATAACATCAACAGCTTGTGTGATATCACCTACTAAATCTGTGCCTTCCAGGATATTGTCTATCAGACTATAACAACACTGAAGCAAGACAGACATAACAGATATATTAGTAAACTAGTGGTATGACCATGATACACATCATCCACTAAATCAGTGCCTTCCAGGATATTGTCTATCAGACTATAACAACACTGAAGCAAGACAGACATAACGGATATATTAGTAAACTAGTGGTATGGCTGTGATATACATCACCCACTAAATCAGCGCCCTCCAGGATATTGTTAATCAGACTATGACGACAGTCAGTCAGTCAGTATACAAGACCAGGGGCAGAAGTAGGAAATACTTCCCCCTCCTGCAGCCAATCAGAACGCATGATTTTCTAGGATACCAGTCAGACTGGAAAAAATAAAAACCCATCTTTCCAACGTCCTGGCAACAGGCCTGTTTATTGACATAATATTTTGAGTTTACATCATGTGAACTAAATGACTTACCCTCATTTCTCGTTTTATCAATTCAATATTTCTGGTGTTCGTTAGTTCATCTATTCCAAGCAACATCACCTAAACAAGAATGATAAAAAATGGGAATTCCTTAAACATGGACCCCCCTACTGTCACCATTGCACATCCTGACGTGTGGTGCCTCATCATGCGAGACATCTTGGTCAAGGCAGCAAGATGATGATAATGATCTTAAATTTTCCAAATTTTGTTTATGACTCATAACATATCTTTCACTTCTCCGAAGAGGAAGTTGTATTTTCCACTGGCTGAGGAACGAAATAAGTGGAAAATGATTTCTCACACCACTGGAGCCTGGGCCGAGGGATATTAGTCACGTGGTCAGTGTTTTCATCAGTTGCTTTTTCCCTGTCCGCCATGACTGTTAGTTAGCCCCACAGTGCCCCCCCCCCCAACCCTAGGCCAGCATTGCTGGAAGGACTTTAGAGTAGTTTTTCATGGAAACCACGTTGTGATGATAAGAATGATGTATTACAGTAATGCATGTGTTGAGTTATTCAGAAGTCAGTTGGCGGCGGTCAGCTCAGTGGACAATAGCTCCCAGTGGTGTGTGAGAAATATGCCTTTATTTTTATTCAGTGGAAAATGATATGGCAAATTTGTAAACGTACTCCAACCACTGATTTAAATGTTGCCTTTGTTATACCATAAACTGATACCATATTTAATTTGAGAATTTGATATTTATTTACAAGCCCATAAATTAAACACACTAGGCATGTCTTGTGATTTGCTTCCTGGGCTACCTATGGTAAATTACCACAGGTAACCCAACAGGAGTGCAACCAAAAAGAGGGCAAATAGAGAGATACATTCAGAAGGTGTTGACTCAAGATGAACCAATTATTTTACCATAGCATTGAAGACAAGATTCAGGACTCTGTTCAAATGTGCATCACTGGAGTTGTCATCTGATGCCACTATTATCAGCGTTATACTAAAAGTAAAATGAATTAGTAAATATTCCGCGTAAGATCCATACTCCTTTATGCAATTCCCTTCAGTGACCAAGAATAATAGTTGAACATGTTAAGGTTAGAGTTGCTGAGTACAGCAAAACTATAGTTTATCATGCATGGCAACTCCAACCTCAACTTGGAGCTATTATTAGTGGTCACTGAATGGAACTATAAAAAGAAGTATTTCCTTTTCTCCCTAAGGGGAGGGGTATGGGTGAAGCGCATTTTGCATGAGTAGAAGATGATAGGGCAGAATCATAACGTAACTATGTTTTGTGATTGAATTTGCATCACTTGAAAACAATAAGAATTACAACACAATGTGCAAAAGTATGACCATAATAATTTGCATACTTTTATGCACTGGATTTTGTATGTTTGACCAACAAATTTCGATGCAAAGGTGAACAAAATTAAAGACATAGAAAAAGCAATATGCTTGTGTGCTGTACGTGCATGCAGATATGCAGCACTTGGAGATTGGCAGAACACATTAAATAATAAGAGTTAATTCAGAAGCACTAGCTCTTGAATGTGCTACTCCTAACACCTCTATTGTTCTTTGCCAAACACTGCATGTTTTATGACTGTACAAAGAATGAGTGAGTCTTTTAAGATAACTTTTTTATAGTTAAAACTATACGTCTTCATTAAAACATATTTAGCCATAATCTTGAACTCAGTTCAGCTTTAATACCTGTCATGAAAGACTTTCCACACCACTGTAGCATCATTTGTCATGGTCTTCAGTAAAGAGACATCCTGATTCTTCGCAAACATATGAACACCATTCAAAGAACCAACTACTGGGAATGGCAACTGTGTGATTACAAGAACAGAATAAAATTTGTGAAAACACTCCAACAAAGGATACGTGATATTTGTAGATATCTTTAGTGTTTTACCTGAGGTAAATCTCCTTTAGTTCGAGTAAAAAGAGGAATCCCTCCATCTGTTGTCAAACACAACAAGTAGGCCGCCATCTTGGATTGGCGCCACGCGCATGCGTCCAGGGACTTGATGAAACTTGACAACTAAAGTGAAGAATACAAAATGTCGACGAAAAACGGGCAAAAAATCATTGGAAAAATCCACCGTAGATTATTCTAATGGTCTGTAGAGGAGCCTTATGCAATGCTTATCCGTAGGGTGGCTTATGCTATCATTGCTGGAGCTAGTTGTGTCCATATTGTGCATGAATATTTGGGTGAACTAATTTTGGTAAGCTTAAAAAAGAGCAAAATAATGACCAAAATAATACTCTTTGAAGCTTATTAAACAAACTGCTGTTATCCTTATTACATAAGAATTAATTAATTTTGCTTGTGTTTAGAGATTTAAGATTTTCAATAGGCAAAAAATCTAAAGAGAAACACTTTGGATTCACAATAGACGCAGGAAATTTTACGCTTCCTGCGACTCGAGTGTACTTTTGTTTTGCAGGGGGGAAAAGGCAGTTTTTTCTTCGTTATTTCTCTTCCACCAGTATTATCATATCATGAATTATGTGGGAATTGAGGTATCTGAATTTGTATTTTCTTTCCATAGAGAAAGCATGTTTAAATGTTGGAAAAAACTCGCAGTAAAATGAAGCGCGCAAACTAAAAGTTTACTCCTTACCGCGTCCATTCTTCGTTGTCCTCGAAGATTTCTTTTCTTTCCTCACCCAAACTGAACTTCATTAAATCTTTACGGTAGAATTCAATATCATAAGGAACTAGATCAAATATTTTGACATTTCTGGCTTTCTAAATTGCGTGGCTAAACGTAGAAACTGCCAGCGCCTAGACATGAAAACCGAAATATGATCATGACGCTTCAAAGAGATAACAATCGTCTAGAAATTAGATCAGACTCTCAAGTTACGTTATTAATAAGTAGTGGAAAACCCGCCAGGATACCATTAAATGTCTGCCGGCTTATTGTGGTTATTTGTGATATTGAATTCTGAGTGAATTGAATATAGGACAATGCCCTCAGGGTGTGTTTTATTGGTAGACTTTTTCTTCTCCTATCGATTTATTCCTCCATTCATTCATTCATTTGTTTGCTCATTCATTATAATCCATACCATTCATTAATCATTTCTTTTATTTGTCCATTCATCCATTTATCAATCCATACATTCATTGGTTCATTTATCCATTTATCCATCTACCAATTCATTGATTTATCCATCCATCGATCCGTTAATATTAATCCATTCAATCGTTTATCCATCAATCCATTCATTTATCTATCTATCTATCCATCCATCTATCTATTCCTCCATCCATCCATCGGTCTATCTATTCCTACATCCATCCATCCATCTATCTATTCCTCCATCCACCCATCCATCCATCTATTCATCCATCCATCCATCCATC